AGATAAAACTTCCAAGTGACAGTCTCCACTGCCTGTGAGACCGCAAGAGCTTGCAAATTTACATATGAAATTAAGTTTAAATTACAGAGCAAAACAGGGTGAACTAAGGTCACACCATCAGCCTTAGTTCTGAGCTCTAATCCACATTAAGATATTGTCCAACCTGAAACACAGAGGAACAAAAAGCCAAGTTACATCAAGTGCATACTAAAAATATAAGAAGTTTCTGACTTCAGTTATGGCTGAAATTGCCTTACTAATAACCTAAATTTTTGTAGCTAGCTCCCTTCTTCAAATTTAAAAACTTCACTTTTTTTTCTACCTTGTATGAATCAAATACATCTGGGTCCCAGTAGCAAAGTCTCTACCAGGCTCTAATAAAATAGGAGAAGCATGTCCATGTCTTCAAAAGATAAGTACATTATCAAAGCAGAGCGAGGAGCTCCCTGCACTGCAGAAACTTTCCATCACCATGATCCCCACCATCCTACATGTAAATCCATTTCTTCTGCACAATAACACCAAGCTTGAAACATACTGCAACATAAACTAGAGCAAATCTAATGAAATCCAAAGACAAGGAGAATTTTATATCAACTTTAGGTACTTCTAATTTAAAGAAAAACAGAAGTCAATGGTATTGAACTGATATTCAAATCTAGCACATAACTACGAAGATGTCAGAGAAAAGGTATTTTCTTAATCCTTTATTCTTAGTCCTGCTGTCAAGCAATGCCTTGTATTCACTAGACCAAACTAAAGCAGGGAACCTTTTGATTCCAAAACCAGAACATTCCAAAGGGGAAGAGAATGAGAAAATTTTTTTTACTGAGATTTTGGAAGAACATCACATTGAAGTTACACTGTTTATTCAAGAACCATAAAAGGGTTTGGGTTGAAAGGCACCTTTAAACATCACCTAGTAACCACCCCTCTGCCACAGACAAACATCTTGCACTAGATCAGGATGCTCAAAGCCCCATCCAACCTGGCCTTCAACACTGCCAGAAACAGAGCAACCACAACTTCTCTGGTTAACCTGTTCCAATGCCTCACCACCCACCAAAGTAAAGAATTCCTTCCTTGTAATCAATTTAAATCTATCCTCTTTCCATTTAAAATGTCTGTCCTTTGTCCTACCACTACAGGCCTTTGTAAAAAGTCTCTCTCCATCTTTCTCATAATCCCCCTTCTTTATACACTGAATGAAAGCCTCAATAAGGTCACCCTGGAACCTTCTCTTCTCCAGGCTGAACAACCCCAACTCTCTCAGCTATAGGAAAGCTGTTCCATCACTCTGATAACTTCTGCGGCCCTCCCTGGACCTGCTCCAATAACTGCATGTCTTTCTGGTGCTGGATGCCACAGAGCTGGATGCAGTGCTCCAGGTATGAGTCATCGGAGAACAGAACAGAGAGTGAGAATCACCTGCTTCTTTTTACAAGTTCAGGATACTAGTGGCAAAGAAAGTAGAGAAAATTTGGAGAGAAAGACACACCACTCTGGCAAAAATTTACATATGACTTTACACCCATTTCCTGAAGTACAAAATGAAATTACTACTTTCCTATTTTTACAGTAGCCTTCATTCATTTTTCTAAGGTTTACAGATAAATAAGAGGTTGAAAAACACTACATTAAATAAAGTGGAATGTAATCAATGCTTGGTTTAGCTAAAAAAGTATGTATTTGATTTTGAGTTGTATCATTTACAAGAAGAGGTAAGACAGCAACAGGAAGAGGTTCTCTCTTGTGACATCAGAGGTTCTGTGGGTAAAGAGAAAACTGACAAAGAACTACCCACTGGGATACAAATAACTTCCTAAAGCAGTGCTCTTTACAGAAGCTGGGATAACTAACGCAAGGAGTGTTTAAATCTGTGGTTACATTAAAGGTTACAAGTTACAGCACTGTATCAGGGCACATCAGCTCAGAGCAATTTTGTTACCAAGTCATTTAGTCATGTAACAGGTCTGGACTGCAGCGCTGTAGGAACATGAACAGCCAATCTGTTCTTGTTCTAGTAGTTCTTCTACTGAAAAACCTACAACCCTTACAATAAAACAGTAAGTTACTCATGTAGACAAGCTCAACATGTCTCCATAATTTTGCAATAATTGTATTTTCTTACTGAAAATTCTCCTTTATCAAGCAAGGGAAACTCAGTGGTCTCCACAACAATCAAAAAAAACCCACATTTGTTTAAGTTTGCATGCTGAATAGATTATAATTTGTAACCAGGCCTCTAAATGTTGGTTCCAACAGCCACTTTGTATATGGAGATAAGCTTGAAAAATAAAAGCAGTACTCTGAGATGTTAACACACAAGTTGTAGGATAACACTTCTTAAGCTTAGTATCTGAGAACTTTCTCTAAGGACTAAGTATTGTTTTCATAATAATACATCTAAAATCCAAGAGCTTGCACCAAGACTACAAATAAGCTAAATCAAAAAAGAGGCACCCCCAAAGCAGTACCCAAATAAGGGTGTGCATCCATTTACCTCAAATGAATTTAGGTTATTTAATAAAGCAACAAAGCAATGTGATTTTCTCATGCCAACTGTCTGAGCAACAGGCCCAAGTTTCAAGGCCAATTCAAACCATCATCCAAAGGAGCAAGGTGGAAGAAGAATCATTTTGCTAAACCACCACCACTATTTTGTCAGCCAAAGAGCAAAACTCACATGCCTAATTTAGGAGGCCAAACTAAGACTGTTTTCTACATGATCCCTGGACAAGCAATGGAAAGTTTCCTCCAGAGACGTTGTTAATGCAAGGCACTGAACTGGCATTCTAGAGTTAGGTGTACGAATTAATCCTGAGATTAAATGTGCTCACCACACCTCCATGGGACAAGTGTGTCCAGTGTTTAAACTGCATCTGAAACATGTGGTCATGAGCTGACTGTGAAACGTAACCAATCTTCAGAACCAAAGCAACTAAGACACACACAAAATAAGAAGCTGAACAACAAATACTGAAAACAAGAAGCCACAGAGCAGATGGAAAAGACTTCTTTCTGCTGAAGTCACCATCAGAAACACAAAGTGCCGATGCCACACAGACACGTAATCATCAACACACAACATTACAGCAGTTCATTGTGAGTAAAAACTCCATACCGTGGTACCTGTATAGTATCTTGCTACTTCCTCAAAGAGGAGGCATCCCAAATACACTCCATTTCAAGTACCAATTCACAATATGGTATCACAAACATTATTTGGCCTAACTCAGGCTATGTAGCCACCAAGTATTTCTGGCCCCCATGGACTATTCCTCCCAGTCCTGCCAAAAGGATTTCCAATAGAGAATTTTTTCTCCCCGAGTAGCATCAGGGCACATGTCTGTATTAGGGCTGAGGTACATGATTATATATGAACACACACACCAAGGGAAAAGTTGCTGAAGAAGTCAGTAAAAAATAAAAACAAAATAAGGTAAATCAAGTCATTAATTTCTACCCTTTCAGTGTTTAACTCTATGCCAGCTGAAACCAGAACACAAGTATTCAGATAACCTAAGGTAAAATTCCTTTCTCCTCAAAGGCATAGCTAGAGGATTTAAATACAAAGTGGGGGAGACAGCATATGAATCTACACAGGAAAGGAGTATGTGCAAAGAAAAGAGTATTAGGTGAGATGACGAGGAAGGTTTTAATGACAGGAAAGATCAGAAGGGCAGAAAAACATGAAGAAGGAAATGGTTACTGGGCAGAAGAAAATTGGAAGGGGAAAGGTAATAGAGAGGTAATGACAGTACTGGAATATTACTTCAAGAGGAAACAAGAAGGATGGGGAAAGGATCCTAAACAGGACACACTTAGCTTGCAGTGGCAGTGTTACTGGGAAACAAATGAGTTGGTTATTTGAAACAAAAAAAAATGCAAGACTAGTCATCTGGATAGAGACAATAAGTATACAAACAGAAAAACAAAAGGTTACAGGGGCACCTTCTCTGGTAAGGCCACAACAGTAGGTGGCAACAAGGGGAAGCCTGGCGCACACTCCTTGAGAGCAAGAGAAACCTAGAAAAATTGACCAAGATGAACTGTGGCAAAAATCCCCCAGCCACAATGGTACTGAGAGCACTAGGGAATGTCTCTAGGTACAACCAAAAAGCTCCCAGACAGACCTGAATATCACTAGGGCTATGGGTATTGCTGGGATGAACAGGGTGAAAGGAAGCAGCACAGGAAAGGACAGGGAGGGCAGAGAGCAGGTGAACTCCCCAAAACAGTGTCCGGTGAGGTTACGGACAAAAACTCACAGGGAAAAAAGAGGGCAGAGGCGTGGGAGGAGCAGGGCCTGGGATGGCTGGGGTGGACAGTCCCGGGGCCGAGGAGGACACAGCGAGGGCTGCGGGAGGACGGGCCCGAGGTCTGAGAGCCGCCGGGGCGGGACGGAAGACTGGGGCAGCCACCGAGGCGCCCTGGCCATGCGGGGGCCGCGGTCACGGGGGAAGGCCGGGGTCGGAGGGAGGGAGCAGGCAGACCCCCGGCGGCCGGGCAGATCCTGCGGGGCCGGGGCAGCCAGCGGGGCGCTCCCGCACCCCGACGGGGGCGATGCGTTCTGAGTGCGCAGCTCGCGGCCTCCCCGCTCCGGCCGGGCCCGCGACTCCGGGGCCGGATCCACGAGCGGGCCGGGCAGCCACCACCGCCGCCCCCGCGCTCCGGGGCCGGGAGCGCGCCCGGGAGAAGAAAGGCGGCCGGGCCGGACCCGACCGCCCCTGCCCCCGTTCCCCGCGGCGTGACTCAGTGCCGGGCCCCGCGCCGCCGCCTTCGCGTCCTGCCGGGCCGGGCCAGGCTGGGCCAGGCCTCGCTGCGACACAACGCCGCGGCCTCCCTGCACTCACCAGCATCGCGCGTCCCGCAGAGTCAGGGCCACGTCCGCCCGCCCCTTCCGCCTCCACCGAGCCCGGATCCGCCACCGCCTCCCCCCGGCGCGGCCCGGGGATCGCGGAGGCACCGCCCCTCGCAGCCGCCCCGCCCCGGCTCACGGCGGGCGGGGGAACCGGGGTTGCGGCTGCCCGTGCCGGCAGGGCCCGGTGGGGCTGGGCCTTGGCCTTGGCCTCGGCCTCCGGCGGAGCCTGCCCGCGGGGCAGGCTGGCCGACCGATCGCCATCTCGGCTGCCAGGCCCTGCCCTGCCCGAGGGGTCGTTGCTGCGACCCCTCCCCAAGTTAGTCCAGTGCCAGAAGAGCTGAAGGATGAGCTGAAAGACTTGGAAGTGATGGTTGATGGAAAACTCAACATGAGCCGGCAAGTGTGCGCTCTCAAGCCAAAAAGCCAATCGAACTTGGGCTGCGTCAAAAGCAGCATTGGGGCCAGCAGGGCGAGGGAGGTAATTCTGCCTCTCTGCTCTTCTCTGGTGAGACCCCAGCTGGAGTGCTGTGTACAGTTCTGGTGTCCCCAACATAAGAAGGACATGCAGCTGTTGGAGCAAGCCAAAAGGAGGCCTCGAAGCTGATAAAAGGACTGGAACACCTCTCCCATGAGCACAGGCTGATAAAGCTGCAGCTGTTCAGCCTGGAGAAGAAAATTGTGTGGAGACCTCAGCAGCCTTGCAGTGTCTGAAGAATCCTAGAGGGAAGCTGGAGAGGGGCTCTTTGTCAGAAACTGCAGTGATAAGACACAGAGTAATAGGTACAATTCAACAAAGGGAATTTTAAGTTAGATATTTGGAAGAAGTTCTTTACTGTGAGGGTGGTGAGGTGCTGGAACAAGGGAATAAGTTGTCCAGGGAGGTTGTGGATGCCCCAGTCCTGGCAGTGTTTAAGGCCAGGGAAGTATCCCTGCACATGGCAGGGGGTGTTAGGACTAGATGATCTTTAAGGTCCATTCCAAACACTTAACATTCTATGATTCCATGTGTTTCAGGATGACATGGTAAGACTTTCCTCCATCCATAGCTAAGCAGCTGCTTCTGTATTTATGAGAAGCACAGGTTTCTAAAGTGTCCTGTACACAGTGAATGACACCACACTAAGTCTGGGAGTCCGAATGGATGGTACAGCTGTGAGTTAACAGTGTGTCTTTGTCTAGCAAATGTTAAACCAAACTGTGAAGCTCCTCTGAATTATTCACATCAGGAATCATTGCCTCTAAGTGCATGAACATTGCCTTGAAAACTTTGATTGAAGTGTGGCTTTTGTAAGAGCATAGAAATATTTCTGTAATTGTCAGTTTCAGAGTAGTAAGAAGACAACTTGGAAACAACACTGCAGAGAGAAGAGGGTAGAAATTGAAAGAAAGGAAATTACATTGTTCAGCTGTGAGCTGCTTGGAAGATGTGTGATGGTATTTGATCTGACTTACTGAGGGATATTGGAGTTACATGAACCTGTTTGCAATCTGCAAACAAATTAAAGCAGAACTACCTACTGTAGATAACTTTAATGTATGATACTAAAACGTAAACCTCCTAGCAAATTTGCATCACTTATATGTGGATTGGAAGTGGGGCAGTTATATTTTCTTTCTAAGAGTACGAAACTGATGGAACAAAATCATACTAAAATTAAGAGAGGTTTCAGAAAATTAATATTTTGGAGTCAGTTCTGTCTTATTTGTTCCTGAAGACTGGAGTTATATTGCTGGAGCAGTGTTGTGAAGAAAAAAACCCAAGGTTTGTAAAAGATGTTATAAAAAGTGCTTATCTTTTATACTAGTATCGAGAGTTAAACCCATTAAATTCAGTAGCTTCCTGGGAAAGGAAAGAGAAATGGGGAAGCAATAGGAAGAAAGAGAAGATTTCTTTTCTTTGCAAAATGCTTCACTTGCATTCTGGTTCTACCAGCTGTTCACCTTTTCTGAAAATTTGCCTTCTCAAAGCTAATGGTCCTTAGTCATGTTGGTGCTGGAAAAATTACTTCCCTGTATAATAATGCCTTCCCATAGCCCAGCCTACTGAAGTGGACACAAGCAAAGTCAGTGACAAAGCTCTTCCAATGAGACAGTGCTGACTAAGGAGCACTGTCTGAGGAACTTGTTTAATGTGTAGCAGGGACACTGTCTCAGTCAGCTGGGTGGCATCACGACGCTCATATTTTGCCTATGTCGGTATACTTTGCAAATACCATTCCTGGGCATGACTAAATCTCTGGTTTGCTGACATACATGAGTTGTAGTAGAAGACAGTTTGTGTGGGTTGGCATCAGCATGGTGTGCTAAAGATTGGGACAGTGAGGGCAAACAAAATAGTCTGGGGAACAGGAACCAAATCCAAAGGAGGGTGGTCTGATAATGAAAAATAAGGACTGATTTTTCAGTCTTGGAAAGTTAGGTCTTGGTGCTGTGTTTTACAGCAACTCGCTTTGTGAGAGGTAAAGGCATCATTGTTTTAAAGCCTAAAACAAGGGGACAAGAGAGCTACAGACAGCAAGAAAGGTGAAAGAGAAATGACAGGAAGGGAGCAAACTAAGGGGAGAAGAAAGACCAGAATTGTCACCATCTTGCACTAAACTGTTTTTTTTTTTTTTTTTTTTTTTTTTAGCTTTTGTGATTAACTGCTGTACAAGCCTGAGATGTGACAGTTTGGAATATCGAAATTTGTTTATCTTTTTCCCCAGGGCTGCATTATGATTTGTGCTCACTTTATAGAGACAAGGCACAGTTCTCTGATTTTATTCATGGTAGTGGTAGCTGAGTTGACATTCTGAAAAGGTAGGCCATAAAAAAAGGTTCACTAGACAATTCGGACATGGTGTGTAACATGGCTCCTTCATACAACCATTGAAAGAATTCCAGCAGCAGGGTAAGTGATCACAGAGAAAAAAGGGAACTGAATGCCAAAATACCTATTACCAAATTACTCATAGCAGGATGGCTCATGCATTTTGAATTGTCCAATGGAATTTATATACTTTGCGTGAAAGGACAGAAGCTTCTCTTAGAGACTGAGGCAGCCAGAATTTCAAAGACAGACTTCATGAGAGAAATCCAGGTTTTTTTTTTTTACTAAAATGAATTTGCGGTGCTGCTGAGAGGGGCCTGTTTTCAAAATAACTTGCAGGTCTCACACTTGTTGCATCAGCAGTGAATCAGCATACACTAAGCAAGAAAATTATCATGACAATGTTTGCAGTCAGTTTAAGTAGGTAGCTCCCTCAGCAAAGAAGAAAAGCCTGAGTCATTCAAAGACACAAAGTTGCAGCGGCTGCTAGTTTATTACTACCGTCAGGAGTCGGGGCTGATTTGGAGGGATACTTTCCCTGCTAGTTACATGTGCAGTGGTGGTCTGAAAACAGTAATTAATTACACCACGTCTTCCATACATCCCGGAAGACAGGCTTGGTATAGGCAGGGTAGATGACAACCAGATTTGGTAAAGGTTGCATAGCTGTATTGAGCATCTCTTGCTTTTTTCTGGCAGATTTGTTTTCCTTGGTGCTTTGGTAAAGAATGTTTGGCTAAGCTCCTAAGTGATCATTCCCCATTTAAATACTTTATTCCTGATTTTGAGTTGAGCCCCGTGTGCTCCCTAGCTCTGAGAGCCTCTGTTTTTGAGCTAGTGAGAGGTTGCAGTCATGTTTTTCCTTACTGTTTCTTCTTGGGAGGGTTGAAAGCTAAGATACAGGAAATAAAAAACATGTTTGGGAAAGTTCTGTACAATATGTGAGCAATACTACCAATTTCTTCAGCTTTTTTTGTTGAGTAGAACATTTGAGTTTCAGGATTTTCCATGATTGCTTGTAAATCAGTCTTGGGCTCAGTCTGTCATGCACATTTGTATAAAGTAACTGAGAAGAGATATCTTCGGTGCTTCCAAATTCAAAGGTGCCCAAAAGAATCTGTGAATGACAGATGATATTCCACTGCTCTGCTGCTTCTTGTGCTGTGAACCTTTGCGGGAAGATGGAAAACATTTTGCAGAGATCAAGTTGTTCTTCACAAAGGGCAGTCCCTGCATGTGTCAGACAGGTAGTGCCAGGCTCCTATATTGAATAAAAAGGCAGCCTAGGAGCGTTCACAAACATGGTAACCTTTGGTTAATCTGCTCCTTTTATAAGCACAGGTCAATTGTCAAACACTCTGGGTGTATCACCAGCAGGAACAATGCAATGTGTGTACAAACGTGTATAGAGGGCACACGACCAGCTCTCCTCAAGCCTTCTGTTTTTTTTCTCTTCTCTGACAGGTTGTCTGTCACCTGGATGATTTTTTAGAGGTTTGCAGCGGTCTGAATTCCAACATTAGAGCAGAGAAGAGGAACAGAGAAAAGAAAAGTTGAGTTAGAAGGGAGCTACAACCATATTTTGCTCCCATGAGCACTTTGGCCTAATCACTTCTAACAGTTCTGACCTCAAATAGGGATGTGGAGATACTATGCAGAATGGGATCATGACAAGTGAAGCATCATTGCCCATCCAAAGCAAAGAATATTAATGTATCCTTGGGTAGAAGATGAGCAAATAGTCACCTTGTTCTCAACTTTAGGATATTTAAATTCCAAAATGGAGAGTATTTGTTCCTACATCTAAAGGCACACATGTGCTCTGGGAATTCATAATAGAAAGAAGATGGTGGTAGTTTTTTTGTTTGTTTGTTTGGGTTGTTGTTTTGTTTTGGTTTTTTCTTTGCAATAATTTCTAGACTAAAAGCTTTCAATCAAAAATGGTCTCCTTCTACTAATGCCTCTGCTATTGACTGCCACAAATAATGCACTGGTCCACTGCCTTTTCTTTTTCCATCCTGTCCTTCACTGGGCTGAACGTTTCTCTTGGGCCTGAGATCCAATTAAGTCCATTTAACTACAACTGATTAGGAACACACCCCAACACAAGACTTAGCGTTGGTTTAACTCATTAAAGCTCTTTCTTTGTAGGAATTTTTACAGACTGAAAGACAACCTTGGTTATGCTTCTCTTTTTTGTTTTTTTTTTTTTTAAATTTTGAGTAGCAGTTAATCTGCTGCTAATGTAGCTGAGCTCTGTTTCATTGATCTTTAGTAAAGCTAATATTTCATTAGTTTGTTTTCCGTAGTTATTTGATATTTTGTGATGATGAACAGGCAGCTCTTCACAGACACAGCATGTGTAATGAAGGAAATTGATGTTCTGTATGAACATTTTTCATAGAGGAACACTGCTCTTTGGGCTTAACTTGTTTCTCACTATATTTTTACCTGAGGGAGAGAGAACAAGGAAGAGCAGTGTCACAGGAACAAGCCACAGCTTGGCTTTTCACACTCAGCATATTCAAAGCAAGAGTTTATTTTTACTGCATTCTTCCTCAGGCTGAAACTTCAGGCTCACTTTCCTTGGTTTGAGCCCACTGAGATGCTTCACAGGATACATTCTCTTGTAGGGTATTTAGATTCTCTCTGATCAGCATTGAGTCTAACCTCTGTACACAGAATTCCTAAAAGTAGGAAGGTCTAGTAAGAAGCATGGCAGGAGATTTTTTGTAGTGTATTTAAATACTGACAAGCTTCTGATTTTTCTTTCAGTGCCATGATACTTCAGAGTTTATGTGCTTAAACCTTATGGTTTAGGTGTTGTAGAAGTTTTTAGTGAGAAAGTAGGTGGAGGAAATGTTTGTATACTAACTTCTCACTAGCTTGACAGGTAAACCTAGTGGATTGTAATATATTAAATATGTGGGTACAAATTGCAAGAGGGGAAATTTGAGAGAGGTATTAGGAAAAAGTTCTTTACTTTGAGGGTGGTGAGGTGCTGGAACATGTTGCCTAGGGAGGTTGTGGATGTCCCAACCCTGGCAGTGTTTAAGGCCAGGTTGATAAGGCCTGGAGAGACCTGTTCTAGTGGGAGTGGGGTTGGGAGTAGATGGTCTTTAAGGCTCCTTCCAACCCCTTAACATTCTGATCTGAAACAATCCCTAAGAGAATGATTTGTAGTAAGTTAATGTGTTATCTGTACATGTCAGTGCATGGCATCAATGTAAGATGAATGTTGGCAGGAATGATAAGAAGACAGGTGGTTTGTGTGGTCAGGAAATCAGATGATACCTGAAAAAGCTGTCTGAAATGTAGCCTTTGCCACAGAAATTTCTGCAAGTCCCTGCTTTTGATATTTGTGTTGTGTGTCGGGGTCTGCTGTTATGTGTCTCTGCCCCGACACAGGGAAAGGTGGTTCTGGGCGGCCGCGATTGCGAAGGATGAGTCTGGACTCTCAAATTCTCGGTCTTCAGTTCTGT